AGACTATGGCCAGAGAAGAATTAAAATTAAAAAATTAATAGAATAGAAAAAAATCACACAAAAGGAGAAGATTAAAATATTCTTTGAATTTAAATTTAGAATTTTAATAATCATATATAATGATACTTATTTAATAAAAAAATTAAAATCTAAAAATTTACTTTATATTTATTTGTTATATACTTTTGACTTTTTTAAAATTTAGAATATGTAAATTTGCACATGCCTTATTGATTTGATATCTCTTTATAGGATACAATTACTATGCTAGTGGATTAATTTGCAAGAATATATATATATATATATATATATATATTTAAAAGATTTTGTTGAATTTTTTATTGATATTTCTATACAATGTTTTTGAGCATACATTAAAGCTTGCAAATTTGGAATTGCCAGAGATATTGCAATTGATCTAGATGAGTATAAAGATGAATGGTAGAAAAGAAATCTAATTGCTAAGATTAGTTTTTTATTTTTTACTAATGATTTTATTAAAGGTGCATTAAATACAAGAAATCTATAAAACAAACAATTGGAACATTCAAAGTAGTAAATTTTTGCAATGCACCATTATCTTTAAATCAAATAGATAAATAAAAAATGATTAGAAAATATAAGTGGAGGAATTGAAGTCAATAATAGCCTTATATATTACATATAAGGAAAAGTCTTGTGTTGAGGCTTAGAGCATGGATGCAAATTATTTGACAAGCTAATGATTTTTTTTTAATAGTAATTTTAGACCAAATAGTTTTATTTTATTCTATTTTCTTATATTACCTTATTCTAATTAATACTTAATTCCAATTTCTTATAAAAGGTGATAATAAAAAATTGGGCGTAATTTAAATTATGCACATTTTTAGATTAGTTTTAAAAAGTGATTGTATTACTAATTGTAGTACAGAAAGTTTAATGCAATACCAATTTAATAATTCTGACAGTATTTTCACATATTTTTTTTCTTATTTAGATTTTAAAAATACCATTTAAAAAGAATTATGCTTCATAAAATGCATTTTTTGTATTATATTATATATATATATATATTAAATTTTAAATATATTATTATTATTATTATTATTATTATCAAATTGCACAAAGAATGTCATGGAAATAGTGCAATGTAATATAAAGCTAAAAAATGTGCTTGTCTAATCTATGGATACATATTCATTAAATAATAGACTTCTAATATTTGTTTTTCAATTTGATTGCTTTTAGCATGCATACAATTAATGTTGGACGAAAGCCAAATCTTAAAAAAAAGAAAAAAAAGAAAGAAAGAAGAAATAAAAAAAAATTGAAAGTATGTTTTACTTAACTTTGGAAGCATAAATTTAATTCACTGTAGAAATTTGTACGTAAAGCATATATATATTCTTTTATAATACTATACTACAAGGTGTTTAGGAGAAAAGATAAATGGTATGATTACACAAATATTTTTTTTGTAGAAATTATTATTAATAATAAAAGGCCCAAGACATTTAAATTTTAAAATTCTTCATGAAATTAATTTAATATTATTTAAAGGTAATATTTTAAATATTTTAAAATTTTAATATATATATATATATATATATATTCAAAATTTACAAAATAATTTAAAAAATAATGTATAAAATAAAACATATTATTATGGTACATTTGACAACTATATTTATTACAGCATACAACTAATAGATGTATTATTACAGCATACAACTAATTAGTATGTTTTATGCCACTACAATTATGTATAAGATTTTGATTTTTAAAAAATAATTTTTTTTTATGTGCCTAAATCATTCCAACATGATGGTGATATTTTGATGTCAACATATACAAATTTGATTATAGCCATAATGTTAAAGGTTTGGATTTAACTTGTGTAATATTATTAAATTTAGTTACATAGAGTGTGAAGGCAAACATATGTTTTTATATTTATTTTTATGTCATTGACCAACTATTTTCTATTATAAAAAAAAAAAAATTTAAAAAAATTATAAGCAAATATAGTATAAAAATATGACATTTAAAAATGCTATAATATATTATTTAATAATATATTATACATATATAATTTTTTTTGGTTTAAAATCCTCAAAATAATAAAAATAGCTATCTAATAGCTTAGTTTTTTTTTTCTAAATTAACTCTATGTATAATAAATATCAAGAAATATAGAAATAATATAAGAAATTATAGGACCATTATTTATTAGAAAATCATCTATTTTAATATTATAAGATATAAGTAATTACATTCAAATTAAAGGTTTTGTACATATAGATGTTTATATAGAAGCAAAGTTGGTATATTAATTGCAATAAAAAGTGATTGTCAAAAGGCGAAAAAAATAAAAAAAATAAAATATTGATATTAAAAAATATAATATTAAATAATATATATATATATATATATATATATATATATATATAAACTTTATATTACTATTTATTTGTCTGTTGGCTACTTAGTTAATTTTTATTATGATCATTTTTTTAAAGCTTAATTCTTATTAATGAAACTTTTTTTTATTAGTAATATATATTTTTATCATTCATATTAATATTATTATTGTATTTTAGTATATTTCTATTTAATTTAAGGTTAATTTTTCAAAAGAATTTCAGAATTTTGGATTAGTTTAGTTAAAAAGAAGGATGATTAAAGAACAAAGAAATCAATGGTCTCTTATCAAACATTTGAATGTGTTAGATTGTAATAGTTTTCTATTGCAATTTAAAATATTTTACATATAATTTGAAACCAAATAATACCACGATTGATTTTAATTTAATTGTTAAGGATTTAGATAAAGTTTTTGTACCAAAACATCTATAATTTTAGATTTTATTACAAAAATATTGTTGAATTATGTACGTTTAAATTAAGAATCATATTGCAAGAAGAACATTGAGATGATTTAGATTTCTATTGGTTTAAATTTTTGGAAATTTTAGAAAAAAATATCAGAGAAATTATATTATATCAATTGATATTGGTAATATCTTTGTAAAATAATGAATATTTAATTTTTTTAATTGTGGACAAAATACTGTTGGAAAATATAGTTTGTATTTCAAATTTTAATAAGAGAATACTATTATTTGAAATTTAGAATAATATGATTAGGAACTATTTGGATTTTTCATTTAGAAAATTAAAGATGTCTTATTTTTATAAATAATAATATGTTCATGCATTGAAAACCTTGACGATGGTTCAATTTTCTAAAAAAAAGTATAATATTTATATTAAATATTATAGATTTTTTTGACCTAGTTTGATGATATATTAAAAAAAAAAATCTATGTTTTTTTATTTGTTGGAACCTAATTAGTTAACATCCTTCAACTCAATTTGCAAAGAAAATATTTATTTATTATTATTTAAAACAATTATTGGTTGTTAATGTACAAAGTGTCAAAGTTTGATTCTTATCTTTATCTTTGATTGTAATAGAGTGATGTGTTCACATATAACTTGTATTTTATCTCAAGGAAAGAAGTGATATTTAACTTCTTTATTATATATTTTTCCAATATTACAATTTGGTTCCTAGTTCTAATTGGCTTAGTAATTAAGGTTACAACTAATATTGTATTGCCTATTTGTATTAGTGATAAGTTAATTGGTAATCTAAATGTTATTAAAATTAAATTGTTGAGTATTCTTTTAGTATTAATCTAAAGACATTGTATTTGTTATTATCTTTTTAGATATTGTATGTAAGTTTTTTCTTTTAGCCCTATCCATATGCCCTTTTAAGTACTAAAGGTTTAATTAGAAGTCTCTTTTAAATAAAACTTTGATTAATTTAATTGTATTGATTTGTTCTAATAAATCATATGGTTTTTCATTGTAAGGTTGGTCAAGAAATCACTAATAACATGAATTAAGAGAATAACTAATAACTATTTAAAATAGAAGTAGAAGAAAAGATTTTGTTTGTCTCCTTATATTAATATTTAAAGGTGATAAGATTAATATACAATTGATTAACTAAAGTATCTAATAAGATAGACATGGTGATAAATTATGCATTTTTGTTGATGACAAAGATGATTGTAATAAAAATAGGTAGAGCCACCTAGTCTTGTTACTTTACTTTAGAATATAATTATATAAAAAAATATAAATGAGTGGCTTTTATTTTAGGAATTTTTAAGATAGTATTGCTTTGTTTAGAACTAATCAATAATTAAAGTAGAAATTTAATGATATTATTGAATAGGTTTACTATTTTTGTTTTCATCTTTTCAAATACAAAACAGCCATTGTCATTAGGCTACATTTTTTTTTCCTAGCAAAGTTGGATATCCAATTGGGATTTGAATTACCAATCTATTGGTACCAAGCCACCATTCTTAGGCAGTTTAAGGTTGTAGACCTGCAGCTTTATTCTTTTTAAAACTTTTTAGTTCTGGGATTTAGTAAGCGACTAAATAAAAATAAATGAAATACCACCTTTAATACAATATAATCTTCTATGTTGATTTTACTTGTTTTGCTAGAACTTTTTGTTAAACTCAATTGTTTAAATTCATATTATAGTTGATAACAAGTACTACCACTTTGTAAGGATATTAAAATGTTCAAAGGAAAAGGAGAATATTGTTAGAAGTAAAATCTACTACTTCATGCAACATATATTTGACATATCATTATTTCAATGTACTTTCTATTAAATGATTTTTTATAAATCATATCAATATTATGTCTTACAAAAGCAACTTATTTCACAACACTCTAATCCAATTTTAGAACATAAGTTAGAAGTGAGAAAATAGAACATTGTTTTACCAAAAAAACATAAACTGTACTTTTGTACAAAGAAGCTTTTAAAAGTTTTAACATGACTTGAGATTTTAAAGTGATTTGTGTACACTTAGAACCTTAAATACTGTTAACATGTTAAACGACACTTGCTTTCCACTGAACGTGAGGAAGGTCCGGCATCACAAAAAAAACTTGACATGCCCCATATGTGTAAGCAGAAAATGATCGGTTCAACATGATTCTATTAGACCTCGTGGATTGTGATTAATTCTCCAGTGAAACCCCAAATATAGCTGCATAGAAATCCATAGACTGAACAGTTCGTAAGATTAGCAAGCCTGTGGGAACTGTGGCTTAGACCGCAATAACTACTTATATAGACCATCAAACCAATTTGTGTACACCTGCATAAGACATTTTCACACGTTTGACTTGCGTCCTTTGTACAAATTTGTCCGTCATTTCAACAAAACTTCACAAGTCTCACTCTGTCTATCATGCGTGATGAAAACTGTCTCGGAATAGACGGTACAAACCAAGCTACGTTCACCACTGCGAGATCGGAGTACGAAAAATCTGCATATAACCTTCATGTTTCATGGAATTGCTGGAATTCCGCTCTTAAATTGCATCCAATTTCAACTGGGACGGTCCTAGCGCAGCTATGAAAACCACCTCGCTTCCTAAATGTCCTTGATTGCCCATCGTAGGGTTTTCATGAAAATTTCTCTGCGGTAAAATAATTCGTTCTACCCTTCCGAGACCTGAAAAAGAAGAAACCCCATTAGCTGAGCTTTCCTAGCTCCATCTTCTTCTTGATTGCTCGATGTCCGTGGTAAATAAAAGAGTCGACTATACCCGCTATTGTGTATATACCTGTGCGGCAGAACGCAGTGTCATTAGAAATCTACCTTAAGCAAGAATGCTTTTGCAGCTCGTACATTCTCAAAAAATTAATGGGCGAAAAATCTCAGTGGTAATGATCGACATTAAAAAATGTGGACAAGAACTAAAGTGTAGTTCTTCCCGCAAAAGGATTAGACAGTCAATTGAAATCAGCTCACTTCAGAACCCTACTGTGATGTTAATATTCCTATGCACACCTTAAAACGTAAAACTAAAACTAAAACTAAAAAAATGCTTTATTTAATTTTATGAACCCTGAATATCAACAATTGTAACTGGAACTCAAAGGCCAACTGTGAAGACTTTACCTCCAATAATCGCACACACGTTCGTAAGAAAATGCAGAAACGATGGTCTCTCTTCTGTAAACTTCACCTGCAACTCAGACCACCACATAGTATCACTCACATTTGAACAAGATAAAAAAAAAAAAATGTTTCTTCTTATATTTTTGCTGTGGATCTAGGGACCAGAAAAAGCATTACAGTCATGCTTGTTTTCCAGCCACAACCTGAAGCACAAGTGCAAAATGCAGGACAGTCAAAGAAATAAGAGCTGGGTCGGATGTTTTAAAAACATGTGGACCAGATGCATGTAATACCGACATAAGCAAGCACGTACACGAGCACATCATTATTCTCGCAACCAATCTACAGTTGCATGGCAGGTATCCCATTGAAACATCCTCGGTTTACACAGAAAGTGCGCACACAGCGTAAAATATGTTCGGTCTAAAACAGAGGGATGAAGCACCTTGATGGGTGTCAAATCATAGAAGAAGAATACACCAGGAATGACTCTTGGGCCATGGTCTCCAGCTGTATAGTGCTCCATCACAGAGAACTGAGACATTTGAATTCTTGTTAAGTTCGCTGAGAACATTGCTAACAAGGTGACGAATAATAATGCCAAAACTGCCACATTGCCAAACCGTGCGCACAACACTCATACAAACCTGATTGGTAGAAATTTTGCGGCCTTTTATGTCAGTGTACACAGTAGGCACGACCTGTTAGCATCACACCAACCAAAAATGAGCGAAGTCACGACAACATCCTCCCATCAACTCATAACGAGAACAGCAAATGGTTACCATGCATAGCAATTACTTATTAAATCTCAAACCGGGCCCTCATAGCTTAGAGCTCAAAGGTAACGGACAGGCATGAAATAATCACCTTGATGAAATACTGAAACATGCCATTTTGGTCCTTCTGTATGCTCGTCACTCTGCAACGGCCAGGTGAATTGATTCACTTGCTTTAGCAATTGCATGGAAATCAATTAGTCGTAAAATTCTATAAAATGAAAAAAAAAGAGTAGGCGCACATCCTTCATATTCATAGCTCATACAAACAACCAACCTGGGCTAACATATTAAGAATTATGTAAAAATAACAGCAGGCGTTAAAATTAACAACAGCTCAAATTCTACACTAAAAGAACCCTTTCACAAAGCCATGTTTGAGAAAAACGACTAGAGATTAAGTAATTTACTTGTCTAAAGGATTCACCGCTCCAGGAAAATAAGCACCGAAACTGAGCTCGTTAATGGTATGGCTCACCTGCAGGTATAACGAATCCCAACATACCGAACCATTCAATCTGCTAGCCAGTCATTCATGTTCTTTCATCACGTTTAACGAAGATTTCAACAATAACATATAATATGCATCAATCTTCTCTAAGGAATACCATTTGAACGAGTATCATAAGCTCAGCAACTATATGCTCACAGGGACGCAGAAATACTATGATATTGCCATGAAGAACAGTTGAGTGACAATTACATTGAAGCTGTCGGTAACGAATCCCATAAGATCAAGAAGATGCATAGCCGATTGCTGAAAGGATTTTCCTGGAGCAATCTGGAAATTTCCAGCCACCTTATTCACTTCCAATTTTCCATAGATGTTACAACCCTCCCCAGCTTCCTCCTTTATCCTCTCAATAAAACCTTCTCTGTGGCACTGAAAAGACATAACATTTCAATGGATAAGCGAACAAAAGTCACCTTGGAGGGTAGATGGAACTTGAGTCAAGTCTGACATGTGCACTAAACTCATGGAATAGTGAAATATACAGGAAGTATGCTATAGCTGAGGATGCTACCCATATTGACACAAGTACTTGTTCAACTTCATTAAATTTCAAAATTGTAAGAAATACTGGTTTACAAACCTGATCAATTAGATCCGTATTGGTCAAGGCCCAACCCTTTTTGCGATATGCTTCTCGCACCTCTTCACATGAGTTACAGCATTGATCATCTGACTGGAGCAGTCCACACATCCCACCATGTGTCAGATTTAGATCTATGAGAGCTTTTTCATGTAGGGCAGATTGAGCCCATTTCTTTCCTAATGCGTGCTACGGTTCCAGTTGATTACTTCATCTTAGTCCATACGTGGACCATAACACCTACGGTCTGTCTTCGAGTTCACACCTACCGATAGCGAGATTCAACTAACGAGTGATCACGTAAACTGGTTTCTCAACTTCCTAATCAATGTGTTGCTGCCTGCAAAACAAAAAGATGGAATGTAGCACTTACTGATTCAGCGCCAAAACAGGAGCCGCAGTAAGTTTCATGGTCCTCAAGCCTTCCACCATGCTTTTGCAACGGCTTTTGGACCTGCATTAAGATTCATGCCATTCTATGTAAGCTGCGTCATTCACAAACGCAGCAAATTCCTAACGCAGCAAGCATCCCAACTTGCAAGGTCAACACCTGTCAGAATCTTACGAAGTACATGCTATATTTAAAATTAAGAGAGACGATTTCTCAACCTTTCTTAACTTAACTCGATGTCATAAGTTACAAGACTCACCTTGGGAGCGTTGATGGCATCGGGTTTTGGGGCGTCGACAGCCTTTCCATGTACGTCCAGCCTTTTCTTATAAATATTGTGTCTCTGGATATAAATAAATAGGGTAGTAAAGAGTGAAAACACAATAAAATGAACTTCAAGCCCCAGGGCAACATATTATTCGGATCGATGCAAACACAGAAAGGAAAGAAATAGAACCCCAGGATTCCCAGCAGAAAGACACAACGACATGACATATCGTGCGCAGGTTTGAAATATGAAATAATCACAATATCTTACCACATCAAGGTGCAGTTCACCACTTATGTCCATTGCATCTAAGCTGACAACGGAACACGCCAATGCCGGGAATGTAATGTCCAACTGCAGAAACACACAACGCAATGGTTAATTCTAAGCGTATCAATCAATCTTCGACTTCGAGTAAAATCATAACGTTTGCCACTTTCAGAACCAAATTATAGAGAGCCATCAGCCTTTCCTGCTGACATTCCCAAGAGAACGATGCTTTCAGGTCAATCAGCAGACGGACTATAATAATTGGCGAGCAAATCAAAGAGATTTGTAGGTGAAAAGTTGATTTTCGGCGTACATTGATCTGAAGGGTTTCTCCTCGTGAAGTATCCACCACCAGCTGATTCTGAGTCTGAGCACTTAAATATATTCCTGATAAACAAGCAAAGAGTTCCCTCAATTTCTCGTAGCAGGAAGTCAACCGCTACTAGGTGCCTCCACACAGTTCCTCAGCTTACAAATGCAGATTATATTGGTGAGAAAGGAAATGTGTTACATCTATAAAAGACAGCCCTCCCTGAAATCATAACCAGAGATCAAACAACACTACAGCGAAATTCCGATATGGATTCTTCCCAAACTCGCAGCGAAGAAGCTAAATAGAACCTCAAAAAGCCAATTCCTGAGAGTCTTCCACATCAATCGACCTTACTCTCTTACGTACTAAAACCATACTATAGATGCAAATGCGGCGACAACCTGAGTGACCCAAACGTGGCAATAAAATCTAATAGGCAAAATATGAACTCTCTGGACTACAAGACAGCTGACATATGCATATTACATGGACTAACTTCAGCAGAAAATCAAATTGGTGGTTTAAATGTTGAGCACTCAGAATGCAAGTCTAGCTGACCGTTGTTTTGTTCCCATGAAGATCAGAATAGAAATGACAGGACCTGCAGTCACTTACGAAATTCTGTTACGAATAAAAGAAACATGAATATGGAAGATACGAGCGTGATAACACCGCCAGATAGAGTTCGGCTGTAAAAATCTTCACTAATCTTAGGGTGAGCATCGAGCTGCTTCAATTTGTTGAAAATTGCCATGCTTGATTCTCAACTCGAACCCCAGTGTAACTCCTGACTTCTGACTCTTTCTCAATTGGAAAACAAGGTGCTGACCCTCATTGAATCACGGATAACCCTGCTTTGCTCCAAGTAAGGTCTCTTCTGGTCCTCTGAAGGTCCCTGCACAACTTTCGAGGGATGTTCAGAATTCCCGAACCATAACATCATTGCAGAGGCCTCCATTTGCGCTCTCAAAAACCCTGAGACACAACCTTACAACATTCCCTTCTACCATTCCCCTGCTAAAAGAAATCGCCACACCAAAACACACAAAATCCAGATAAAATCAAAACCTCAAAAAACTCCAAAAATCACCAATTCAGCAAAACACAGCACCATCATACACAAGCACATTTTCTAACCTCAGAAACCTAAGCTCCTATTCATAAAAAAAAAAAAAAAAAAAAAAAAAAAAAAAAAAAGGGAAAGAAAAAGAGACAGAAGATGGATCGAGCATTAAAAAAAAAAAAACTCACTCAACAGCGAATGCAAAACCTACGTGCGAACAAACCAGAACATATGATCCAAACCCTAAAATCGTACCTTATGCTCGCAGCTTTCTAGAATCCATTCCACTTCAGAAGTGATCGAGGCAACGATCAAAAGCTCTGGAAATCCAATCGCGGTAGCATAAAAGAAGGAACCGATACCAGGGCGCGATGCGAAGCACCGCGGGGCGTTCGAAGTCTACAACCTACAGCGATCTTACGCGATCGCACGCAGCTCCAGTTGTCGCATGCAACACACTGTGAAGCAAAATTGAGTGCGCGGAGTGAAGAAGGAGCGCCCTCACGGATCAGTCCCCTCCTTCCGAGTCGACGAAGCTCGACGTGAAGTCTAGAACGTTCGGATTCCGTCCAATGTGGTTAAAGTTTCAGTCAACCGAAACCCAATTCTCGTCCATATATCTCGTCAGTCAATGAATGTGCCGATTAGAGCATATCATCCATTTGAGATTCATTCGTCAATATGATGAAAGAAGGTATTAATATCATCAATAAATTCAGTGTAGCATTCATCAAAAAGACTACACATTCATCCATTATCCACATTGGTTCAATCTCGTTCATCCGCCTCTGTTCGTTGGTCTCTTGGATGAATGTAGTGAACCCCTGACGATGGATGATTAGTAGTCCGACAGTCAAAGTTTTTCTCACGCGAGTCCAAGCGTGGCGGTGTCTCTCGAGGGTGGTCGTCGTCGTCGACTTCGTGGCAGATCTCGCAGTTCGGGCGATTCCAGAGAGCATCCAGAGCCTCGCCCGTGCTGCAAGGAGTTGTCGTCGAAGGTGGCGGAAGAAGAGCACATGACAGTTGCTTAGATCGTGATTGCGTCCGGTTGGTATGCGCGTCGGCGGAGGGAATTTACTGCTGTTGGTCAAGTTAGGGTTTCGTTTTGCCTTGAGTTTTTATAATCCAGGTGAGCTTCTCGGGAGACGGTTTGCGTTGCAGTCTTCAATTCGTCGATTGGAAGAATTTTTTTGTTTTAGAGATGCTTTTGTGTTATTTGTTTTCATTCTTCAATCGGGGTGACTCGATTTTTGCGGAAGTTCTCAGTCCCTGGTGAAGGTTCGTGTTGCCCTGAGATCGGTCTGAGGATCGATCTCTAGTCTTTTCAAGCCTTTTGTATGGAGTTATTAGAAAGGGACATAGCCTACGCTGTTGGAAGATAGTAGGGTTTGGTGGATGCTCGTGTAACCTGACTGTGCGAGTTAGTCGTCATGGCAAGACCATTAGCTTCGCGGACTTTGGATTTTTAGTTAGTCACCCGTAGATTACACGAGTATTCTATGCTCCCACTTACGTGTGTACTTAAAGTCGAATGTAGAGGTGCACTGGTGTTGTATGTTTTATTTTTTGTATGGTTGTTAGGGTTACCCTTATTCTGTTGTGTAATTATTAGGGATAATGAGAAACCTTTTGTATATGCATTGCACCTTTTACCTCAGAACGGAGATCGCTCTGCATCTACTTATTATTATCTATATCCGTTGGGGCTATCATGGAAGTTAACAGGATTTGAGGGGAAAAGAGCTAGGTCTAAGCTAGAAAATCTGGCTCTTTACAAAATAGACCGTACGTCCACTTATAAATTTACGTGTGTAGACTCTTTTAACGGGTTAAATAACCTTACCTTGTTGAAAGTTGTGTCGAAATTCAAATTTATTGATATTAGTTATTGGTAATCTGTTTCTGCAGATATCTTGTACTTCTATTAGCGAACCTTTTAGGTTCCTTGAATAGGATTGAGATGAGGAAAGAAAAATGGCAAGTGATCAAGAATCTAGATGCTTTCCCTCGTGCCGAGGAGCATTTGTTGCAAAAGACTTCTTCTGGTGCTGCTGGTTAGTACTAAGTTACTTTTGATAGTTCTCACTCAGATAAAGCATTTTTTGTTTCCTAATATGTATGAGCAGAACGTTAAGTAGATTCCTATCACCTAATAACTATTTCTGATAGGTTCTACGGTTGTACGTTGACAGAATCGCTAATGATTAATGACTTGCTATGTGAATGTGGCAGTCTCGGCAATAGGACTGTTTATTATGGGCGTTCTCTTTTTTCACGAGCTTCGTTTTTACCTAGAAACTGTCACCGTGCACGAGGTAAAATCTTTTTGCGGGACTTTTTCGTAGTATGGCTACTGTGTTTCCTTGTGTATTCACTACTTATGTAGTAACACGAAATGCCGTAACACAGATGTCGGTGGATGTTAAGCGCGGGGAAAAACTGCCGATTCATATTAATATGACCTTTCCGGCTTTGCCATGCGAAGGTTTGTCTCCCATACACCCTGGTTGAGTTCACTTTTAGTTTCCGAGTCTTTTGCCTTATTCAGTCCTTTCTGCACTTTATGTGTTGTGTGTAGGACCAGGTCTTCTTTGAACATAATTAATACTCGTGCGTATTTAAAAACTGTCTTGTTAATTGATCATCCTTGATTGCTCAGTTCTGAGTTTGGATGCAATAGACATGTCCGGCAAGCATGAAGTAGATCTTGACACCAACATTTGGAAAGTAAGTTCTCTGTTTACTTTATAGATCTTATCATCCCCATTGCCGTTTCGTTTGTCATCTGTCTAATTTGTAAGGTTGTTTGTGTCCGTTTGCAAGAGTACTGGTATTTTCTAAATTTTAAACTTGTTGCATCTTAAAAGTAAGTAGAACGTGTCTGGATAATGCATGCGTCGTTACGACGAATCTAATCGCGGATCCAAGTTTAGGGTACCAACATCACGGAACGGATTTTTGTCATGTGCAGCTGCGTATCCATAGAGATGGTTACGTACTTGGTTCAGAGTTTGTCAACGATCTTGTCGAAGGAGAACACAGAAAGGAGGAGCCCAAGGCTGATAAAAAAGACGAACACAAAGATGGAGACCATCGGAAAGTAGAGGCACACGGAGCTTCAGGGAGTCATGGTAGGCTTATTTTTTTAACTTACAAAGTCTAAAGTCCAGAAGCCGTTGTCGATATTGTTATTGTGACTTGTGTAAAACAAGCTCTTCTGTGTAGCTTTTTCTTGTTTGGTGATTTGAGGACATTCCTGTCACAAGAGCAATGTGTTCATGGGTGGTACCTCACTCACGGGTATTCAACAGGACATGAGCATGGTGAACACGGGCTCCATGGTGGATTGGCCATGCCTGTTCACAGTCATCATTCTCAGAAAGATCCTCAGAAGGTGATCAATGAGGTCAAGAAGGCGATTGACGATGGAGAGGGGTGTCAGGTAATTGATTTTCTTGTAATTCATTTCATTTGATCATTCCATGTAGAGTTATGATATCAACAATGCTTTCTGATTTGTGCAGATTTTTGGTGTGCTTGACGTGGAGCGTGTTGCAGGAAATTTTCATATTTCCATGCATGGCCTGAGCCTTTACGTAGCCTCTAAGGTACCATTATTTATTCTTTATTTTTTGTACCAGCTGTCATAATGTTCGTTTTATTCATTTTTTGCAGTAACAATATTTATCTAGAATTCTAGTGTGTAACACAATTGGGTGATGTTGGGACAGATTTTTGAGGCAGGGTATGAGGTGAATGTCAGTCATGTCATTCATGACCTTTCCTTTGGGCCAACTTATCCAGGTCATCATAACCCGCTTGATGGAAGTGAGCGCATCCTTCATGACACTAGCGGTACTTTTAAATACTTTTTAAAGGTAGGCTGTGTTGTCTGTGTTGATTGTTGAAGCTTGCCTTTTATGAGTATTTGGATCTTCAACTTCAGCAGTCATAGTTGAGCTCTCACCACGTCTTCCTACGTATCTTTAAATGTCTCATCTAATCATCGTGGACTGCCTTTTTTGCTCGTCACCTGTATTATTACTGCACATTATGTCACCAGAGAGATTTGGATTTGGATTGATATGATTATTTTTAAAAATTGTACAGATCGTGCCTACTGAGTATCATTATTTACATGGAGAGGTGATGCCAACAAATCAGTTCTCTGTGACCGAGTACTACCAGCGTACGAAACCTTCCGACCGGTCTTATCCAGGTATGTTCAGCTCCGCAGTAAAGTTCGAGGTAATGATCGAAAGCGTACTTATTTATTAGTATTGGCTATATGTTTTCAACATTTGTTTTGAAGAAAACGTGGTTGTATGTGATGGATTCCTGTTGGTTTGAATTTTGGCGTTCTTGCTATCTTCAATCGAGATAGATTGCTTGATTTGCTGACCAAAGTGCACAAACCACTCTTTTATTTGTTGCGGGGGTTGGATACAGCTGTCTACTTTGTGTACGACTTGTCTCCGATTGTAGTCACTATCAGGGAACACAGACGCAATTTTGGCCATTTTATTACTCGCCTTTGCGCTGTTCTTGGTGGAACCTTTGCAGTTACAGGTACACCTTTTTACTTCTATTCTTGATGGTATCAATGAACGCTGTTACTTGCCTATACACCATAGCGCATCCTATATTGTTACTTTGCTGTGTGAACATGGACCTGGAACTGATTATTGGTAGTGTTTAAATGTATGTAACAGGAATGTTGGATAGATGGATGTCTAGGATAATCGATTTTGTGATGAGCACATCAAAGCAGGGCTTCCTGTAAGCTTCTAAATGTTGATAGATAAGATGCGTGTTTACATCATAGTCCTTTTCAACCTGTACCGTAGCATAAAGATTGATAGAATGTAGGCAGCAGCAATCAGCATCAGTGAGGTCCTCCATGGCTTGTGGCTTTGTTCGCCATCGCAAGCCTTGTACATGCTTCGGCTTGACATTTGCAACTAAGGTCTATGGCAATAGCTGAAGCCTCTTCCTTGTTATACTCGAATTAAAATGATCCAAGGGGCAGGTTCCTGTGGCACGATCGAATCTCCTGAGAGGTATCTTTTGATGTATACATTCATGATACCATTTGCAACTTCAAAGCTATAATTATGGTGAAGATGATCCAGATCTTCTTCTGCTAATTCTTTTGTAACCGTGGAAATTGAAATCATTTCTACTTCAATTAAAATTCTATTTGGAAATTAAAACGTTGGAGATCACGAATACAATTGCTTTAGTTTTAAATATTTTACTGAAGCAAAGCACCTCAAAAGATCAAGCACTAGTAGTACCTTGAGCTAGATGTCCAAAATGGCTTCTATAAGTGTTGATTACATCAATCATGAATACTTCTTTACAAGGGTAGGAATAAACACACAGAATTGAAGGTATAGAACTATTTTTTGTTGTTTAGATCAGCGGTATGAGAACCAGACATGTAGGTGTATGTGACAAACCTTCTTAATCTAATCTTGGACATGCACATAATTTTATTAAATAGCTTTTGTAAGAACGGAATTTGATTGTAAATAAGAAGCATCTTGGTTTTTAATCCAATTCTTAGTTTGAATCACAAATTGAATGGTGGTGCATTGGTGTATGAATTTTGTTTTTAGAATGCATAGGAATTTGAGTACATTTGTGTCTTTACCCAAAGGCCTTCATACTTGAAGTCTATTAATTTGATTCTTTTTTTAGTGATTTAAAACTACAGAATTGATAGCAATTGGATTTATTTTACAAAGAATTTATGTTTGTCTTCAAACTTTGTGTATTATTGCATTGCAACAACAAGATTTTTTTTTTTGTGTTGTTAAACTTTATCTTTGAAGATATCACAATTAGAATAATTATAAAGAAACAATTCATAGACTCAAATGTTTACAATTTTCTGCAAGTGTGGTGGTAATACCTTAAAATTAGTTCTATAACTTTTTCAATAATTTATTACATGTAAAAATTATATAATTTATTAAACATATTATTATAATCTTACTTTAAAATTAAACATACAATTATGTCAACTTAGATTTTAACTTGGTTATTTATTATATTTGTAATAAGAATTTAGAACTTATGTTGTACATAATATCTAAATTACTAGATATATATATATATATATATATATAATTATAGATATTGGATGTTGCTAATGCCACCACAATTTTTGCAATTGCCACCAAAATCTACTACCTATTACATGCCATTATAGTTTTTATTATTGCCGCAAGAACTTATTCTTAATAAATTTGCTTTCCATATAATTTGAAATATGTATAAGATTTTTTTTTTTTTGGGAATTATAAAAAAAAAAAAAAAAAAAAAAAAAAAAAAGCCCCAAACCAAAAAAAAAAAAAGAAAAAAAAAAACTAAAGAAATATATTAAGTAGGTGGGTGGTTAAGGTGACAATAACAAAAACTATAATGGCATATGGTGGATGATAGATTGTGGTGGTAGTAGCAAAACATGGCTAGTCCACTAATTTTCTTCAACCTACTCTTCCTACATAGATTGGGCACTAACCAATCCTTGCTTTAAAAAAAATGTGCAATTGCAATAAAAATTGGCATTGCATTTACAAAAGACTCATAGACATCAACTTTAGAGTTTGAAGGAGAACTAAAATTTTAGTTGGAAACATAATTCCTTTTGAAGCAATAGGAATTGCCACAAATCAATTGGTGAAAAAATAATATTTTAGTAACTTAGTGTTGGTCTATTATTTAAAAGACTCTAACTAAAAGCATGATTTATTTTATTTCTTTTGTTTATTTTAGGAAACCGCAAAGTAGACACCATTTTCTTAATGCGAGGACACTTCTTTGTGCCACATATCTCCACACACACACAATAAAACTATTATTTATACTATTTTTTAAAAAAATATATTTATTATGAAGAGTTATATAAATAAATTACATAAAAATATATTATCAAAATATGCACCAAATACAGTTATATCACCTTCTATAATATGAAATAAAAATGATGCATACTTCTCTAATATCTTATATCTTATTAATAGAGATTTTGTTAGAGAAATATAGGTTGTCAAACCTTCTTAATATAAAATGATATATATATATATATATATATATATATATATATAATCATAATATTATTTATCATAGTTGATATAGTAAATTATTTCTAAGTTTAGCTTTGATGTTTATAGATTAAAGATCAAGTGTGTTGTGTGTCATATATATTTTTATGTTAATAATTTTAATAGTTTCTTTTAAAATTATGTCTATCTATAAAATAAAAAAATAATAATAATAATTATATAATAATGTTTTTTTTTACTGAAATGTTTTGTCAAAAGACATTGAATTAAAAAGGAAATAAAATTAAAAAGATAAGAAGAATGTATAAGTCTTATAACTTTAAAGTTTTTTAATGATCAAATATATAATAATCTTTTATTGATATTTTATACATTAATAACCTGTTTGATAGCATTTCTATTTTAAATTTTAATAGAAACAAAAAGTTGAATAAAATCATATATCAAAATAAATCAAAACTAAAGTAAAAAGTTTGAAATTTTAAATAAATAATACAAAGATATAATCTTTATTCTATTTTTAAATATTAATAAAATCCTTATTTTGAAAAAACTTGTACTAGAATATCATAAACAAACAAACAAACAAACAAAGCAGTATATATATATATATATATATATATATATATATATATTTATTTATTTAGAAGAATTTTAAATAGACCTAGGATTTTATTAAATTTATCCACACATGATGATAATATGGTAATTATAATGAATGTGGTTGGTTTTTAATTGGTTGTGGATTCAATAATGTAGAAATGAATCTAGAGGCCTTTTTTCTTTTTTCATAATGGTTAGGATGGGTGGGTCAATTTAGTTAAAGCCTAGATATATTTCACATTCTATTTTTATTTATTTATTTATTTATTTATTTTCCTCCATAATTTTATGAAGTAAATCAATATAATCTTGTTTTCTTAGGTTGTGGTCACATAAAAACAGATCATTCCAACAAAATTTAAAAACATTAGCTTTCATGCAAGCTACTATTCTTGCCAACAAATCATAAAATTTTATTGCTATCAATCTACTAAGAACACATGGAGATAAGTTATTATTAACAAAATAAATAAATAAATATCACTATGTTAGATTAAGTGGAATTAAATTTTTATTTTTATTTTAATGTTATTGATATATTAATCTAAGTAAAGTTCCAGTTTATTTATTTTTATTTCTACTGATGATTATATTTTTATATAATAATATTATTCTGATTTTAATAATTACTGATAATTATTTTTAAAATTTATAATATTTATATCTTATTTATAATCGATTTAAAATCACAGAAATTAAATAATTATATATATATATATATATATATATATATATGAATGTATAATTTTTTTATAAAAGAAAAAAGAAAAAAGACCTAAATTTATTATCAACACAATTAGAGGTTTTACAAATATTATAAAATGCATATGATTTTTTTTCATATACATATATATTACGAAACAAAGATCATTTTGACAACATTTATTATGTTTTAAAACATATCATGTCATTTTCTTTTATTGATTTAAACTATATTTTTAAATTTTTTAGATTTGTTAATATGAAAATCTTAGAACTTGGTAATTGAAAAGATTGTTGGGTTCTTTTCGCCCTTATGATTAGAAACTTATCAGAAAAGTGGTCATAGATTGAAAGAAAAGTAAATTGTTATTTAGGAATGTTAAATATTTAAGATATTATACATTAACATCATAATAGATATATAAGAGGTTCAAAAATCAATCTATTAGAAGACATGCGTTGTAATCCTCAATACAAATTCTCTGATTTTTGTGGAAGTGAATTTGTGGGTAGAAAAGTTAAGAAAGCTGAGACCAAAAAATTGTAAAGCTTAATTAATTTCTCTTCACTAACACAACAAAGTTAAATGATGAAAAGAGTGGAAAGTAAAACTATAAACTTATGCACATCCATAAATAAATAAATAAGAGAAGAAAAATGAGAAACTGATTTTCCTCTAATATTTCTGAATAAAATAAAAAAATCAACAATCTGGCGAATTGAAATTTTAATTCAACTTCTCCATCTTCGCATTTCTAATTTACAGGGTGTGGAACGAGTTTTGCACGGGTCAACTGCCAACGGGTCCCCCAGCCCAGGCCGGTCGCGCTCTGCAACTAACACGTGGCGGCCTCCCTGGGTACCGACGTCATCGGCGATGCACGGTGACCAGTTCCCTCGGATTCAGCTGACATAAAGCGCAGTCACCGCGTGTTGCTATTCTGTCCATTCGATGGAGAGAGCATCGACGGCCATAACGAGTGGAGGGTGGCTTTATTTCCACCACTGGGTCGGATTCTGTTTAAACTGACATTTTTACTTTTATTTTATTTTTAGAATTTACTTTTGAAGTTGGTGGTGACGATAATGAACAGTACAACTAAATCAAACCCTGCCATGAATGTTGGAATCGACCGTTTATTAATGCTTTTGTTTTAATTGGCATGGAGATACAGGGTGGTTTAAGTCCAAGGTGTGAAATTCTCATTTTCACATATTCATGTTAGTACAACAATAATAATCATAATAATAATAATAAATACAACAAAAAAAAAGGAAGACAAAGTACAACTTGTGGAGATCCAAGTTGAAACTAACATATACTTTAACTACAATAAACTACAACAAAGTTCTTTTAGATGTCAACAATTATTTAACTTGCAAAATGGGTCTCTCTCTCTGTATATATATATATATATATACATATCTATATCTTGTACAATAGATATAAAACATCAAAAAAATTGATGGTAACTCTTAGTGTTTTTGAAAGAATAAGAAAACAAAAAATCTTTATACATAAGAATTTACAGAAGTAAGTTTTTTAACAAAATAAAAGGAATTTGTTGAAGTACTACTTGATCCAATCAAAAAATGATAATCAGAAAGATAATTTTTTTATATAATATGATTCATAATACATGATATAACTGATTTAATACTAAATATTATTACAATTTAGTTCCTGATATACATGTCTTGTAATAGGAATATAGAATTCACTTAAAATTGATTGTTATAAATAAATAAATAAATAAATAGGTCTAATTTGTATTTTTATATTCACAATGATATTTTATATTTCAAGAAGAATACCAAGTAGAAACACCATGACAAAAAATAACATTATAAAATAATTTAGGACAATGATTTGACGACTTTGTTTAAAAAGTAAATAAACCTCAATTATTTAATTAATACTTTATACAAACATTTTAAATAATTTACATTTATAAGAATTAATTAATATTATATACATATTTTAAAAAGATAAAATTATAATTATAAAATTTGGTTTATTTATCTATTTATTTTAGAAGGCACAAAAATATTCTGTTATCTATAGTGTAATCTTCAAGAATTTATGCCACCTATTGCATTGCATAAAAAAATTACAGAGAAGCATATATATATATATATATATATATGTGATTGCTTTTAAGATTTAGTCATCTTGACTAACTTAGAAAATTTACATATAGATGATATGGATTTTTAAAAAATAAAAAATAAAAAATTATAGAATTATTACTATGTGCATAAAATTATTCATAAAAAATAAGCTAATTATATATTTTTAAATACTATGCAACTAGGTTTTTTAGTATCAATAGGTTTTAATATGATGAATCCAATATACACAAAATCTTAGATAATCTATTAAAGGTTCCATGATTTAATGAGAAAACTGTTTAAAGTTTAATGGTCTTTAATTTCAGACTAAACAACAATATATTTACATTAGAAATTCATTAAATTGGACCAAAACATTCAACAATTTTAATCCCAATAGAAAACTAATTTGAAGTGATTATTTCTTTAATATTTTCTAGATTAGATGCTAAAGTTACTTCAAATTTCTAAAATCTAGAGGTCATCTTTTTTTTCATGATGTTTGGATGGGTGAGTTGATTTAGTAAAACTTTAGGTCTATTTAATATTTCCCTATATATATACATATACATATGAACTGAAATTAGATGTGTTACATTTGAAAGCTTCCATTTATTATAATCCAACAATATTCCTCTAGTTACTCATTGTTTGGAACACATTGTCCACAATCTGCTGATTCTTTAAAAATGAAACTAATTTCAAATCGGATTATAATAAACACATATGCTTATTTTCTAAATTAAGCATTTAAATAGTTACTGTTCATGGCATGCACACTTGTGTCCCACATTTTATTTATTTAGTGAAATTTAGCTTTAAACTACTGACTAATGTGGTGAAGAGCAACGATAATGCCGAGCTGGCAATGTGTTTTTTCTCGGGGCTGCCCAAAGCATGGACCCCACCTAGGATCCAAGCTGCCCGTCAAGTTCGCGGTCACGGGTAACCGCGCACGGTGTCAGGTATGGTCACCGTCGACACGAGTCCCACGCGTTGGAATACGAGCCCTACGCGTCTGACGTCTCTCTCTCTCTCTCTCTCATTCTTCTTTGCAGACACACACCAGCTTTCGTCCAATGAATCCCCCATGCCCTGCGAGCGAGGCCGAGCTTGATCCTGGCTTAATGCGCTCCGCTCTCTATAAAAGCGCCGTTACAGCAACCTACATTTCATTATTCTCGGCGTTGTTCACTACGGAACGTGGAAAAGGCTGCATTTTGAGTTTGCCACAGCGATGTGAAAATGCGTCTTGTTTGAATTGTTTTTCTGAAGAGAAAGTTGGCGGTGGTGGCTTTTGTGAAGGATACGAGTCCAGCGCGCCATGAAGGTCACCAAGTTGGAGGTGTCAACGGTATATCCGAGTGAGCGATGTGAACCGCACGTGATGTACCTGTCCGGTGCCGATCACATTGTCCGGCCTCGGCATGTCCCGATTTTTCTGTTTTATAGAGCTCGCGAGGATGGCGAACAGGTATCTATATCTTTCACAAGCAGTGGAATACCTTTGATTCAGCCACTGTCCTTGGTTTTGTGATGGAGCTCTATATTAAACGTGCAGCTGAGTGTTGAGACATGTCACAAGCCTAATGGTTTATTTCACAGCTGTCGTCAGCTGAGTTGTTCTTGAGCTTGCTTCACACCTATTTTTTCCCTGCCTCACATCTAACCGGCCCTTCAATTTAGCCACCTGGGTAGTCGTTGATGAGATGCGGAAAACCTTGTTGGACACTGTTGGACACCTCTGTCTAGTTTAAATGTGCAATACGCTCCAAGAATAGTTTGTCATCCTTGAAACTGGAGGAGGTATTCCTCCGCAGAAGTCGTTACTATTTCGATTGAGTATGTAAGTATTGAAGGCAAGGCTTCATATCCAACTCAGATAATTCTATGAACAGGTCATGCCAACTGACTTGTTGAAGAACTCAGTAGCGAACACGCTCTCGAAGTTCTACCCCATCGCAGGACGACTGCGTAAAGGAAGCGACGGGAAGCTAGAGATAGTTTGCAACAACGCTGGAGTGGAGTTTGTGGAGGCAACAGTCGATGGCAGCTTAGACGAGTTTGATGGATTTAATCCTAAGTTGTTCTCGGAGTTGCTTGATCCAGTGCCCGTACCATTTGGCGAATCATTCACAGAGTATCCCATCACGTATATCCAGGTGGGACTCATTTCCGTGGACTCTGCTTCCACTTGTTTCTTCTGGTTTGGTAACTGAATTCCCATTCTCGCTTGATAAATTATTATCATGCATTCTCTAATATGTACGCTGATCAGGTGACTCGGTTTGCTTGCGGGGGCGTATCTCTCGTAATCACCATCAACCATGCTTGCGTTGACGGGCTTTCGGTGAATCAATTCCTGACGTCATGGTCTGAGGTGGCGAGGGGTTTAGAGATGTCGAACCCGCCGGTTCACAACCGGACTTTGCTGAAAGTACATATAACTCCTGAGCCAGGTTTCCGTCCCAAGGAGCTGAGATCTCTTACGAATTTGCTGCAGGCACTGCCCAAGCAGAACCTTATAGAGTGCATGTTTTCATTCACACCTGAACGGGTCATGCTTGTGAAAAAGAAGGCCATAGGAGGTGGAGAGCAAGGAGCTTTCTCTACCTTTGAGGCCATCAGCGCTCACGTCTGGCGGTCTGTTACCAAAGCAAGAGGTCTTGATTCTCAAGTTACAACCAGGCTTTTAACCCCTCTGGACATGCGTAGGCGTCTAAACCATACTCTTCCCAAGGGTTACTTCGGTAATGCCATATGCTTCGTTAGAGCCGAGGCAAAAGCCGGATACATCGTCAATAATTCTCTCTCGTACACTGCAAACTGCATTCGTAAAGCTGTCGAAGGATTTTCTGAAACGTACTACAGCAAGGTTATCGCCTTTGCGCAGACTCATGAAAATCCCCTTGTCATGAATGTGAATTGGGATGATAGTGAGGGTTGTGATGTATGCGTATCAAGCTGGGTCCGATTTAACTTCATGAACCTGGATTTTGGCTCGGGGAATCCTACCTTCTGCAGCCCCGGGAAAAACCCTTACGATGGTGCAATACGTATTCTCCCAACAGACAAGGGCAATGGCCACATTAACATTTTCCTGGCCCTGAAACCAGATCACATGAAGAAACTCATTTCGGATGCAGAGTTTCTCCTTGATGACTGACAGCCAACATGTCCCTGCTGGAGCGCTCTAGGTAATGGTTCCTTCAAGTCCACTTTTTGTCGATCGGATGGTATATTCTAATCTTAGGACCCATCCAATTGTCCCCAAATTTGAGAAAGGGAGCTTTAGTAACAATTCCCCGTTTCTAGAAATGCGGAGCATAGTGATCTTCGCAAATTTACATAGTACATCTTGATTGATCTGATGTAACTTATCAGACTGTACTCGATTACGAGACACCTCTATTACTTCTATGCCAAGGTTTAACAGACTCCCTTTTGAAGTGCATACGGAGCACGCCGCTCCTGTTACTCCATGGAAGCATGAAGACTTGGGCCAGAAGCTCCTCGCAGTTGCTCGAGTATATAATTACTTTTGAACGATCTATTCGATAGTTCTAAAACTCGTTCTAATTCAACTGTTAAAGTACTAATGTCGACACTGGGGTCTGGCCCACGGCGAGGTGCGAATTTGGAGCGCGGGGGAACAGTCATCAGATTTATTGAATGATGCGGATTCGGCAACACTTCCTTAGTCCCCATCCCACACTTTATCTAGATGATTAGTTTTCATGATGTTGTGCAAACCTACTATTCTTATTCTTATTCTTATTATAGTCATACTACTGTCTTGGGAAAATCATGAAAAAAATCTTACTGTTAGTCAATAAAATATATTAATGTATTGATCTAATTTCATTTATTTATTTTCAAATTTACATAATAAATAACTCGAATATTCAATAAGAAAATTTTGAACACTATATTATTTTCTTGTTCACTTGTTAGCCTATACATACTTACATAC